TCTTCTTCTTCTTCTTCTTCTTCTTCTTCTTCTTCCTTCCTTCCTTCCTTGGAGCATAAATTTGATGAATTTATTAAATATGCGCCCATTTATTGATCAACTTCACCATATACCACTACTTCTGACGTATTAACCGAGATGACTCCTCGCACCTCCATCTGTCCCCGGTATTAACAACAAGAAAAAAAAAGGGGATGTGACTTTAAGAGGAACAGACCATTAAAATGTACGGCGTGACACAGCGGAAGAGGGGTCAGCTGACCAGTAAAATATCCCTAACTAGTCATCTCCGACGATGCTCAGGGATGTAATAATTGTCATGTCATGAAACAATTAGCGCCGTTTGTAGTTAGGTCACTAGGTTACTAGGCCTTCAACAAAGAAGGGGGTCCATGAAATCTATCGCATATTTTAGGCTACTCCCCTGCCTCCCTCGGCCGTAAGAGTTGTTTTTTAACTAAGTTACCATACATTCGAATAAACTAACAGGCGCAGATACATTAGAGTTCTACTTCGTCTCTTCAGATCTGAAAAATGTCACCGTAATCAATAAATGCATAATCAGTTTAAGTTTCTGCAAAACTACTCACTCTTCAATGTCTTTCTGTCCTCTGGTTCATTGTCTTGCCATTAAATCGTTGGTCCTGCCCCAGGACCCCTGACCTTGAGCGAGGTCACTGTGACGGAGCCTTTGAACATTATTTTGTTTGCACCGCTGAAAATGTTATCACTTGAGTGTTTAGTTCCAATGCAGGATGAATGAAGTTGATTAAATTGCAGCTAACAAAATAGATTAAGTTCTCGAGATCAAAGTTACAATAAAGAGAATGAAAATGAAATAACAACGCCCTCACCAACCCAAAAATACGTTCTGTATTAAAAATTAAAATATGTCAGCCTCTCATTCACTGTGCCCTTGACTATCCCCAAACTGCAAAACAGGCTATTGTAGATGCCCACTTGTTAGCCCCAGGAGCCACTCCTGATTCCAGGTAATAAAAGTTTAACTAAGTTTTGAAAGGGGCTCTCGTGGTCAAGAGGTACGATGTTATTGCCTCTCTTTCAATAGGTCCCGGGTTCGAAACTTGACAGTGATGGAACATTTCCTTTTCTTAAAAAATTCTTCTCACCTTCCCTGCCCTCTAATCATGTTCT